CTGTAACTCTACCTCTTTTGTATGGTTCAAACTGTGTCACCTCACCAGAAGACAAAGTTGAATTATTTGCTAAGAATTTTTCATCAATATCATCTCTTGATTTTACTAGTTGCGTTCTACTTGATATAGCAGTCAAACAGGTTGTTCCGTTGCTTGACATTCATTTCACTCCAGCTTCTGTATCTAAAGTGATTTACTGCTTAGACTCTTCTACTGCTTGTGGCCCAGACAACATACCTGTTATAGTCTTGCAGAAGTAGTCTCTGGAGCTGTCGTCTTTTAAAAACTATTCAACAAGTGCTTATTAGAGTCTTGTTTTCCAGCCTGCTGGAAAGCAACATCTGTTGTCCCTATTTTTAAAACTTCTGGAGAATGATCTGATTTGTCTAACTACCGTCCCATTAGTCTTCTTCCTATCATAAGCAAGGATTTTGAATCTTTAATAAACAAACACTTAATCTCTCATCTTGAATCTAATAACTTACTTTCTGATCATCAATATGGATTTTGATCTTCTTGTTCTACGGCTGATTTGCTAACAGTAATAACCGATAGGCTTTATTGTGCATTATGAAAAGGTAGAGAGGTTAAAGCCATTGCTCTTGACATTTCTAAAGTATTTTATAAAGTATGGCATGCTGGTCTACTCCATAAGCTTTTTTTTTACAGTTTATCTGGAAACATCTTTATAATTATTGAATCTTTCCTTTCCAATCATAGTATAAATGTTGTCCTTGATGGACAGCATTCTTCTTCTTATTCTGTAACCTGAGGGGTTCCTCAAGGTTCAATCCTTGGCCCTATACTCTTTTTAATTTACATTAATGATCTTCCAGATATTCTCACATCTAAGGTGGCATTGTTCGCTGATGATACTACCATTTATTCTTGTCACAATAAGAAGCCAACTCCCTCTGATTGTTTGGAGGGGGCATTTGAGCTTGAAAAGGATCTCACTTCTGCTACAGCATGGTGCTCACAGTGGCTGGTGAACATTAATTCAGATAAAACTCAATTTTTTTCAGCCAATCGTTATCGCAATAATTTGACCTTCCTATATTTATGAACGGTAATGTACTTGATGAGTCATCTACCCTTCATCTTCTAGGATTTTCTCTTACTTCTGATCTTTCTTGGAAACCATATATCAAATCCGCAAAATTAGCATCTGCTAAAGTTGCATCTCTTTATCGAGCTCATCACTTTCTTACTCTGGATTCTATTCTCTATCTTTATAAATCTCAAATCCGGCCTTTTATGGAATACTGTTGCCATATCTGGGGTGGATCTTCTAATGATGCCCTTTTTCATTTAGACAAGGTGCAAAAACCCATTGTAAACATATTTGGACATGCTTTTGTAGCCAACCTTCAACCATTATCACATCACCGTAATGTTGCTTCCTTTTCTCTTTTATGAAAATACTATAATGGGCACTGCTCTAAAGAGCTAGCGCCTCTTGTGCCATCTACAAAAATTCATTCTCGTGTTACTCGTCATTCAATTAAGTCTCATCTTTTTTCTGTGACTGTATCTAAGTGCTCCAAAAACTCTTATTCCTCTAGTTTTTTTCCTCAAACATCAGTTCTTTGAAATTTGCTTTCTTCATCTTGTTTTCCTGATTCATAAAATTTGCAATCTTTTAAGTTGTCTGTCAATCGTTATCTTTCTCAACAATCTTTATCTTTTCTCTTCCAGTAACTTCCAACACTAATTAGTGGTCGCTTGCAGCCTTGTTTAAACTAAAAATTATTTATTTCTTTTATTTTGAAGCTAAATCAAGCTTTTTTTTTAAATTCCAGTTGAACTTTATCATTATATTATATTAGTATAAGTATGTATAAGTCTATCATGTATTTAATAAGTATACAATCAAGTATATAAAATAATATTCTCTTCATGATAAGTAAATGGGGCATTCAGTTTAAATTAGAAAGCAGTTTTCTATTTTGTACAAATAATGAATAAAAAGTTATGAAGTCATTACTGCTAACAGATAGAATGGAATGTTAACTATTTTCAAAACTTTTCGTTCCAATGGGAGTAGAAAAATTAAATTTCATTGAATTTTTAAAAGTTAAAAGTTTAAACCACGATTTTAATACACAAGATTTTGTAAAAATGTAAGATTCTTTAGCTTTATTGTTTTTAATTTTTTACACATCTTTTGTAAATAAAGGAAATATTCTTAATCTTTTTTTTTTTACTTTTAACTATTATTTATTTTTAATTAAATTCTGAATTAAATCAAAAACTCTTCTGTTGTTTAGAATGCAATCAAGCATGTTAGTTTAACTCCAAAAAGAAAACAAAAAATGGTCCACCCTTTTCCTTGTATGCACTGGTACGCTTTTAAATGACCTTCTCCCCATACTTGTGTACGTAATTTATGGATGGCCCCATTCCAACCAATTTCTAACTCTGAATATCGCTCTCAAAGACTTTATGTTGAGCGCACATAATCGCGCTCATTGATGGCATATTTCAGTACTATGAGTGCAAAATATTGCGCTGGGAGATTTTATTCATCACATGCATCACATAAATTCATCACATGCATCACAAAAAAAACAAAAACTTTTAACTACTTTTTTATATATATATATACATATATATATATATATATATATATATATATATATATATATATATATATATATATATATATAGTATATATATGTATATATATATATATATATATATATATATATCAATACATATATATATATATATATATATATATATATATATATATATATATATATATATATATATATATATATATATAAATATATATAGATATATTTTATATATATATTTCAGTACTACGAGTGCAAAATATTGCACTGGGAGATTTTATTCATCACATGCATCACATAAATTCATCACATGCATCACATAAAAAAAACAAAAACTTTTAACTACTTTTTTATTTATATATATATATATATATATATATATATATATATATATATATATATATATATATATATATATATATATATATATATATATATATATATATATATATGTATATAATATATATATATGTATATATATATATATATATATATATATGTATATATATGTATATATATATATATATTTATCAATACATATATATATATATATATATATATATATATATATATATATATATATATATATATATATATATATATATATATATATATATATATATATATATATATATATATATATATAGATATATTTTATATATATATAAAATATATGTATATTTGTTTATAGATTTATATATGTATGTATTTATTCAATATATATATTTATATATATATATACATTTATATATATATATATATATTTGTATATATATATATATATATATATATATATACATATATGTATATATATATATATATATATATATATATATATATATATATATATATATATATATATATATATATATATATATATATATATATATATATATATATATAAATATATATAGATATATTTTATATATATATTTCAGTACTACGAGTGCAAAATATTGCACTGGGAGATTTTATTCATCACATGCATCACATAAATTCATCACATGCATCACATAAAAAAAACAAAAACTTTTAACTACTTTTTTATTTATATATATATATATATATATATATATATATATATATATGTATATAATATATATATATATGTATATATATATATATATATATATATATATATGTATATATATGTATATATATATATATATATATTTATCAATACATATGTATATATATATATATATATATATATATATATATATATATAAATATATATAGATATATTTTATATATATATAAAATATATGTATATTTGTTTATAGATTTATATATGTATGTATATATACACACACACACATATATATATATGTGTATTTATTCAATATATATATTTATATATATATATACATTTATATATATATATATTTGTATATATATATATATATATATATATATATATACATATATATATATATACATATATGTATATATATATATATATATATATATATGTATATATATATGTATATATATATATATATATATATATATATATATATATATATATATATATATATATATATATATATATATATATATATATATATATATATATATAAATAAAAAAGTAGTTAAAAGTTTTTTTTTTTTTTTATAATTTAACAAACTTAGGTTAGGTGTCACTCATATAGTTTAAAACTAGTCATTGGAGTGACATCTAAATAAAATAAACAAACAAACAAAAAAATTAACAGCAATAATAATAAATAAAAACATGCGTAAATTAAATTAATTAAAAAAATAATAATAATAACAATAAAACTATAATAAGTTAAATATTAAGACAAATAGTATGAAAACACTCAATAGCAACAGCAAACAAAATTAAAAATAATTAGCAAAACAGCTAATTAATTTTATTTTTTCATCATCTAATTATTTTTATTATTTCAATTAATTAGAATTCTACTGACTCCAATTTGTTAACGACAGAAGCAGTGGCGGATTGAGGTTTAGTGTTGCGGGGGGGCCAAGTCAATAAATAGGGATGACTGGGGTTGCCTTCAGCAATTTAATCTTATATATATATATATTTTTAAATTGTTTTAGGGGGCGTCGTTAGACCGTTCTAGGGGTGTGTGGGGAGGGCAGCTTGACCCCCCACGCCCTATACTAAATCTGCCACTGGACAGGAGTATAATTTACTCCTGTCGTTAACAAATCAGAAACATTAGAATACAAGTTTATTTTATCGCTAGTGTTAAAAACTGCCGATTTACTTTTAACCACCCGATAGCTTATCACAGGGTTTAATGGAGAGATGTAAATATGGTTGTTGTACATTGATGCATGTAATCTGTACATTATGCATGCAATTTGTTTACAATATATTTGTTTTGGACTGTTTTGTCATTACTGTTTTCAAACTTATTTATTGGTTTTAATGAATTAATTTTTTAGATGGAGTACGCGAAGGAATTAAAGATGCACAATCTTATTTTGAAACTCTTATTGACAGGAACATAATAAATGAAAATAATTTGAGCTATCTTGTTGCAAGTTTTAAAACCATTAAAAGAAATGATCTTGCCATAAAGGTTGATGAATTTGCAAAGAAAAATGTCAAATTAGAAGAGAAAAATGAACCAGGTTAATTATACAAAGTTTAATAATTTAATAAGTATTAATAATTATTATAATTGTTATAATTGTTATTATGTTTATATTAATTAATATAAGTATATTACAAATAATAAAGTTATATTGTGGTCAGAGTTGGCATCAAATATGGATTTGTATTTAGTAATAATATGCTTTATTGTCATATTTGTATTATATTTGCTTAAAAAACTTTTTAAATATTTGGTTGAAATATATTGTAAATGTATATAAGCAAGGTTTATAAAATATTTACTTCAAATTTTTCTTTAAAATTAAGAATACATTTGTAAATTAATAGAATAACAAAAATTAACTAATTGAAGTAACAAATGAAGTAATAAAGTTAATTAAATTTGATCATTACCTTAAAAAAAAAGATAAAAATATATATTTTTTCTTAACCTTAATTACAAATATTTATAGTTGCAATTAGCTAATTTTCGAAAACACAAATTATATATAATTGTATTTGAATTTATATTTGGGAATCTAGAACTAACTTATTTATATTTGACCAAATGTATTTGAAATAATTATACTAAATATACTATTAACATAATATACTTAATTTATATCTAAATAATTATATATTAAAGATTAGAATTTCCACTATTTTCAATACTATATTGAACAATTTCAAAATTTTAATATTTTGAACTTAATAAATAAATTCAAATCTTACTTATTTAAAACAAAAAAACAGAGACAATTAGTTTTCTGAAAATTTTTATTTTAATTTGAAAAGTTGTGTTCGCATTTTGTATATAAAAGATAAGAAATAGTAATTTTTTTTTGCCTTTTGCAAATAAAAAATTTACTGGTTTTTATATAAAAATTAATTGCTTCATTTTAATAGTTATTTTTCTTTATAAATTTTAGTACTTAATATTATTATAGACTTCTGTTAAGGATTTTAGTGCAAATATTATACATGGGAATGTAAATAGTAATTAATATAACTTTATTTGTGGTATAATTAATTTTTATTTTTATGTATTATGGAAAATCATACAATATGGCTAATGAAGCAAAATGTACCCTTTGCAGGTCTCTCAATAAATACAAAGATTCGAGCGCATTTGGTATGATAACCCATATGAGTATGATAACCCATATGAACTATCTATAATATAGTTATCAATAATACCCAAGTAGATAAAACATGCGTTGTTAAAATTCTGAAAAAACCAATGAAAGTAGACGGATTTTTTAAATGTGAAACTTTGGCTGAGTTGTTGGTAAAATGTTCTGCTAAAGATATGATATGTCTATAGAAACAATTACAAAGGTTGATGCAATATGCATGTTTATTTCAAAGCAGGTTTCCTATTGTCAAAGTTTCTAACCAAGAGCTGTTTGATGCAATTTTTGTTGGTTTTGTTTTTGAATTTTCTAAAAAACAAGTTTCTGTTTGTTTTTGTTAAAATGTAACTCTGCATAACAAAGTTGCATATAAATTAAAATTGATGGTTCCTTTGATGTCATCCAAAGAATTAATGAAACAATATTTGGTAGAGTTCTACTCAAAGTTCTACTCACAAATGCGCTGCAATAATTCAAAAGGGTGGATAATTACTGTAGAGAGTCAACTGTGCCACAAAAGTTATGACCATAATTGATAACCAAAGATATTCTAGTGGGAAAAACTATCAGAAAAATAATATGCAGGTGAAAGCAATGAAGTAGATCACTTCAATGAAATAATCAATCAGAATCAAATTGTAATGACAATTAAAATCCTTAGATGAGTTAAGTTGCAGCAATATTTTTCATGATATCATGAAGAATACTGCTCATGGAAGCAAAAACAAATCATTTTTAGGTAACATCAAGTCTGTATAAAATAATTCATGTCAATCAATTAAATTTTCAAACTGTAAATTGTTTGTAATTCCATATTGCAAAAGCATGTTTTTGCACAAGAAAATAAAAAAATTATGCTTAAACTTGACATCAAAACTGGGTGGAGCTTGTTCATTGATGATGGCTTTAAATATTTATCAGCTATGATACATTACTTCATGGTACTAATACTTAAATTGATTATGCCAAAAGTATATTTAAATAAAGTATTAACAAAGTATTGGATAGTTTCAATATTGAGGAAGTTGCTAAAGCAGCAAAAAGTAACCTGAAGACACAGTTGCAACCATCCACAGTTGCAACCATCCACAGTTGCAACCATCCACAATTGCAACCATCCATAAAATTATTTTGTTCCATCTCAAGATTCATAGTTTTTATTTTCAGAGATGAAAATGAATAAAAACTAAGATCAGACCAAAAGAGTTTAAGAAAAGGAGTGAAGCAAGTCAAGTTCGGAGATTTTTTTTAATGTTTTGGCTAAATTTTTTTGATAATGTTATGCAATACTGGTACCATTGTACTATGGTATATTGGTATATCCTGGTAACTGTTTTAATATTCAAGATGTAATACTGGTACCAGTATATACCAATATTGTAATACATATATGTAATACTGGTACCAGTATTGGTAATACTGGTACCAGTATATACCAATATTGGTATATACTGGTAAATTTGAATACTGAAAAATTTGAATACTGAAAAATTTGAATACTGAAAAACAATTTCAGATTTTTCTGGTATTATGAATAATGTTAAAAATTTTTTAAAATATTATTATTATAAAGGTCTAATACTTTTACTTTACAGAGAACATTACTTATGGCAATGTGACTTCTCCTTTCACATTGTTGTTGACTGAATTAGGAGATGAGCTGAAGGTTGTAGATCTAAAAAAACTGAAGTTCTTATTAAAAGGAACTGTACCCGGTAAGTTGAAATAAAGTATTTTTTTAAAGATTTTATATAGTAAAAGAATTTGTGGCTGAATGATTATTAAGATGATGATGTTGATGATGATGATGATGATGATGATGATGATGATGATGATGATGATGATGATGATGATGATAATGATGATAATGATGATAGTGATGATGACAATGATGATGATGATGATGATGATGATGATGATGATGATGATGATGATGATGATGATGATGATGATGATGATGTTTATTAAATGGCAAAGTAATTTTTTTAATGTTTTTTCAAATAGATGGTTTAATTGAAGAAATTAATGATTATACAACTTACTTTTCAACTCTGAAACATAAAAATTTAATACATGAAAAAGATTTAACCTATCTTAGTTTATGGTTTCGTTCCATTGGAAGAATTGATCTTGAAAAAAGGGTTCATGACTTTGTTAAGAAAAGTTCTAAATCAATAGAAGCAGGTTAGTTTTTTTATTTGAATCTTTTTTATGCTACTGTTAAACAATTAGATGTTATTACATTTTTTGTATTTTGCTATTAAGATGTTCAAATTAATTTATGAACTTAGTTTGGTTTTTAAATGCTTATCATGACAAATTTCAACACAGTTAACAAACCCAGTGACCTTTGAAGATCTCAAAAATTTTTAGAGTTTTATAGGTAAAAAAAAAAAAGAAAAGTGACATCTGTAGTTCCAAGTTTTAGGACATTGGAGAAATCCTGTTTGTTTTCTCGGATTATCATACAATACTGACCTCTAAGGAAACAATTCATTGCAAAAATAACATCTGCTATCTTTGCCATTTTGCAAAGATAGCAGATGCTAATGATGTAGATGATTGTCCTTATTTTTATTTTAGTTTACTGTTTTCTTACTCCTAATTTCATTCTCTACCTCTTAAATAAATCTTTTATTCATCTTTTTGTACAAAATACTGTTGTCATTTTGTATTTTGTTGTAGTTTTGAAATTTTCAGAATGTTTTATGTTTTTTGATCATTAGCTATAAATCATAAATTTTCTACATTTTTTTGAATTTTAATGTAAAAACTAAAAATTTTAATGTAAGAACTAAAAATTTAATTTTTTTATTTTTTTTTATTTTTTTTTTTATTCAATTTTTATAAAATTGTTTCTTATATTAACTTAAAAAAATTAACAAAATATTTAAGTCATTCAAGCTGCAGCTGTCATTCTCTCCTGCCTCTGATATGATGGTTGCTTAAAATTTTAAAAATTTTGCTCACATTGAATTGATGGTGGCGTGATTAATTTTCCACTTCTTCTAATTGGCATAACTTTTCAGATTTAAATCTAGTTGTAGCTGTTAAATTGTTTGGTTGTCAAATCATTAAGATCAGTGGTTTGGATTTGTTGTCTCACATTGAATTTTCTTTTTTTTTTGTTGGTAGCTCTTTGGAGTTTGGTACAAATTTTGAAGTTGTTCAATATTTTTGGTGTGAAGAGTGAGAAGAGTGAGAAGACTTAACGTCAGAGTATTGGGAGCCTGTTTGACTCTCTGCTGAGCTTCAGATGGAATTTCTATAATATCACTGTCACCATTACAGGACTGAATAAAAAAATATTTAAGCCAGAGACTTCTTTCTTTTTCAATAACTTCTTTATTTGATGAGAGCAAGTATTGGGACACTCTTGGTTCTTCAAGAATGCCTGGGTTGTTAAGATATTTTATTTAATATTGGACGCTTTTTGACCCTTTAGCGCCCACAGTGGAGTGGAGTGAAAATAACTTTTTTTAGAAGTTTATTATTCTCCTTGATTTATAAATATTATTTAAAAACTTTGGCATATAAAATTTGCCGAATGGTCACACACGAGCAGTGAACGCCTGAGGGAAGAAACGAAGTACATTAGAATAAAGGAGAATTATTTATTAGACAAAGCATATTTTGACAGTTGTCAAGACAAAAATAAAGATTAATAGAGGAATATTTAAAAATAAATAAGACAAGCTATACAACCAAAACAGTACTCAACCATAATAACAATATAAAAAATTAAAAAAAATTAAAAACAAATAATAACAAATAATAATAATATATATATATATATATATATATATATATATAAATAAAAAATTAAAAATAAAAAAAAAATTGTTTTATAATCACCAATATGAACTAAAATATACAAGAAATACATAATCAGTCAAAAATTTGTAAAACAAAAAACTATTCAACAAATTAAAAATATGCTAACGACAATGAAAGGACTAATAATGGAAAAAAAACATTAATGCTAATGTGTAAACATAATTAGTGTAGTGATAAGTAATAAACATCTCCTCAGAGTCGCGTCTATTATTACTGGCGTTTCGATGAGGATCAGCATTTATAACTAGTTTAAGATGTCTAAGATGAGCAAACTTGGACAAAAATTACCTGCAGCAATTTTTAGTCAAATTAACCATTTTTAGAATTTGTCATATTTGGCGTTTTTTATTTTAAGTAATAATTTGTTTAATTTTTTCTTTTGAATGGTTTTTTTCTTGTCTATTAACATGTTATTTTAAAGGAGGTTTAGAATTGAACAGTTGTATTTAGTACATAATATTAACATACACAAAATTGTACTAACTAGTTTGATTAAAATCTTTTTAGCTTATTTTATTCATTAGACATTTAGCTTATTTTATTCATTAGACAGTTTTCATACAAAATACCTAAAAGTTTAATTTAAAGTTAAATAGGCAAATATTTGATAATAAATTATTATTAGTATTAATAATAAATAAAATAGTATAAATTATTATCAGTATTAATAATAAATAAAATAGTATAACAAATTAGTTTTGTTTTTCAATGCGTTTTTTAAAATGCGTCATTTTCAATATATGCAAAAAAATTGTGGCTAAGTTATCAAAAAAAAAAATTTGTGTGCTCATTCAAGGCATGCGACCACATGCCTTGAATGTCTCCTGAGAAGACCTGTATGGTAGATACTGTTAATTGACTATTCATCAGGTAAATATTGTTAATTGACTATTGCACTGCATAGATGCCTCCTTCCATAAAAAATAATAGACTCCTTTTTGACAATGAACCACATAAGGGCATATACCCATAATCTATGTCACTTTATCTACCAAATTTGATGCAAGATTGTGGTGAAAATATAGTCTCTACACCCTATTGGCAGTGGTGAGCCACCTAGATTGAGGCAGTTTTTCAGGGCTAGATTGGCAGGGTCAGTGCCACTTAGTACAGAAGTCAAAAAAGCTGATCTGTAATGAGCATTTTTCAGTGTACCCTCTGGTATTTATACATAATGGTTTATAGATTGAAAATCAACAACCTATAAATTCTTACAAATTAAAAAACCTATAAATTCTTACAAATTAAAAAAGAGACTTTCTAATAGAGTTTGAATAGTGTCTAGAACCAGATTTTGGCCCATTCAACTCCACAAACAAATGACTTAGTGAAAGCTCATTTGCATGTAGCAAACAAGTAACCTATTATAGACGCCTTTCAAGTTTTAACTCAATCAATCAAATAACCCTTGCTACTAGTGTTTAGATTAGTTCGATCACTGCCTAGCACTTACAAATTGTTCAAAATGATATTGTGTTCTTTAGAATCCTATAAAACTTATAGAATTTTAATGCTTCAGCTGTTTTGCTAAAAATAGAGCAGTGTCTCAAAAAACCTCATCAACCTTCCTGAATCAAGGATATGTTCTTTTCCATCACTATGGTTCTCTTTTTATTGAAAGTTCGGTCATTTTTACTATCAAAGTACAACGCTTTTACTTGAAATTCACTTACTTTTTAGTTAACCCTGGGTTTATAACCCCCTCACACTTTATCTTTTATCATCAATAACTTTTTTATCATCATATGAAATAATGCCAATATATCATCAAGTACAACTGATGTCATAGGTGCAGCAAAAATGATAGAATCTAGTGGCACTACATCATTAAGGTCTCAGCTCTGTTTGCTTCAAATACTCTGCAGTTTTTTCTGCTTTGTCTAATGATCCTATTGCCAATTTTAAGTCCAAGATTTGATGTTATCTTGGTAACATTTTTGTAATTCAATGTAAGCTTCACTTTAAAAAATGAGTTAATCATTTTTGAGCAAGATTGAAGTTGCATAAATTTTTGTGATTTGCCAGACTCAGAAAGAACATGGCAATACTGATAGAATTTCCATAAATGAGCGTGAATTTATTTTGTATTGTAGTCTGTTTGGTTAATAAATTTGTCTTTTGGTCCGTCAGAACACAAGGTGCATTTTCAAAACTAGACAGTAGTTTTGCCATTTTGAATAAGTTCCTCTCACAATTTTTTCCATTTCAATATTCAATATTCTGTTCAAATTTAAAAATCATATAAGTTGCCAAACGTTGTAATAAAAGTTAATTTTACTTCCATTTAGTTTGTTACAGTTTAGTGTTAATTTTTATTTATTTTTACATTTTTTTATGTAACAAATCTCATCAACATAATTAAAAATGAGCAAAAACATTGCATAGCATTTGCAACTAAAATATTTTAAAAATATTAAAACCAAGATTACTAAAAAAAAAAAAATTAAATTATTTAAATTTTTTTCTTTATACATTTCTATCAGAGAAATATGTTAAAATGGGTTGTACAATAATTTATGCTGAAGACTCTCATTTAATCATTTCTTATCTCATTAAAAAAAAGTGTCAATTTTGAAGGTTTTTAATATTTTTTTCAGTAATCTCGGTTTTAGTATTTTCTCATTCATTTTCTGAAAAATGACAGAGATTTTAAAGACAATTGAGATCTGAAAGTATAATTTGCATCTCTTTCTTTTTTTCTACAAATATAACCTTTTATGCAAACAAAATTCAAATACCAACAAATCCAAATACACTTTCTACAATCTTTTTACCTTGGATACCATTATTATCCCTAAAACTTAGAAAAATATTTCGGAAAGCTGGTCACCCACTGTTTTTAAATCTAATCATAATTTAAAGACTCTACTAACATCAAAAAACAAATTGAGGCTACCGGACAACAGTAAACCTGGAATTTATTTAATTGAATGTAATTGCTCCAAAGTGTATGTTGGTGAAACAAAATTACAAATTAGAACAAGATCTCAACAACACCAAAAATATTTGATGGAAGATAAGTATTATCAGTGGGCTATAGCTCTTCATAAAAAGGACTGTAGAGAAGAAATTAATTGTGATAAAATTAAAACACTTAAAGAAGAATATAATAAATTTGATAGGAAAGTTCGTGAAGCATTAGAGATTCAAAAACATCAATGCTCTCCAATTTATGGTGAAATAAACTTAGATAATGGACAATACGTTAAAACTAAATTTTGCAAGAATGCAAAAAATCCCTTTTTTTGCATTCTTGCGTTAAAGAAGCCGTTCTAACGCTGACGTCAAAGTTTAATTTTTGTAATTTATTATAACAGTCATGATTGTAATTTTTAATTACGATATTATAGCTGATGACGCTGGTAACTATAATTCAGCAAAAATTTCAAATAAATTAACAATAGTATTGAGAGAACTCGTATTAATTGATGTTTTTATTTTGTTAAAATATAACATTATTCCCTCCTCAAGCCACCTATCATCATTTGTTCCATCAACCAAAACTCAATTTTGCATGACTCATTGTTATTTAACCTAACAGTGAATAATGAGTCATCAATGCCACCTATCATCAATGATATAGGTGGCTTGAGGATATCATCAATGATGATAGGTGATGATAGGACTTAGAAACATGAAAAAAACATAAGAAACTGGAAAATCGGTCATATCTCCAGTTGCCTAACTGCCGACTCAACTGTCAGATTTGACAACCATTTATATGATTACTAATAAATAAATAACAAACATTTGGAGCCTTTTCATTCAGCTTTTGTTTTTCTGGAACTTAAAAATGAAAAGAATTTATGATCTAATAAAAATCATTTATATAAATAAAAACATGATACCTTTAACTAGCACCTCCTGTAAAAAAAAATAACACAAAACTATGGTTACTCTAAGATAGAATATCAAATAGCTTTTTATAAATAAGAAATTTTGTAAAAGTTTTTATATAATTGTGCTACTGATAAAACTCAAGTGCACTTTCAAAAAAAATCTAATATTTAAACACAATTTTTATTTTTTAATCTTTGTTTAAAAACATTTTTCCAATAATTGGTTTGTTGTATTTGCAATGAAAAAAAGAAGACATTTACAGAATTTATATTTCAAATTATACATTTATTAAATTTTACATTAACTTGAGTAATTTAAAAAATTAAAAGCAAAAAAAAAAGAGGGGCTTTTAAAAAATGCAACCCTGAAATCATATTATATAAATTTTTATTTTCCTCTTTAAATTTTAGCAAAGTTTTTTTTTTTTTTTTTTAATTCTGCATCAAATTTAAATTTACTTTATTAATTAATTTAACCATTTAACTTAATTTACTTTATTGATTAATTAAAATACATAATATTTTGTAACTTTTGAAAACTGTTATATAATTGTTATAAACAACGTTTTAATTGCTGGTTTATGTATTAATTGTACATAATTAAAAGTATTTATGCTTTTAATGGCAAAATTTTTTTACTTTTTAGATAATCGCATTTCTTCTTACATTTTTAATCAGAATTTGTGTGGAACTTGTCTTATAATAAACAATTCCTTTTCTAACAATCTTATAACAAAAGATGGTATAGAGTTGAATAAACGGAATGGTACAGATAAGGATGTTGAGGAGCTAAAGAAAACATTTTCATGGTTGAATTTTGAGATTGTCCTACATGAAGATGTTGATGCAAAAAGTATGCTCAATATAATTAGGTCACAAGGGAAAGCTATTGATTGTTTTATCTGTTGTATATTGTCACATGGTTATAAAGATGGAGTGTATTGTAGTGATGGAGAAAAAGTTTCGTTTGAGGAAATGAAAACTTCTATAAATGGGAAGTTTTGTGATTTGTTAATTGGAAAACCAAAACTGTTTTTCATTCAAGCTTGCCAAGATAATGAAAGCATTGATGAAAATATTGCTGATGAATTGGATAAAAAAATGACTCTACAAATCTCAATACAAGAAGAAAATGATATATATAAAGAAAAAGTAACACCAAGCGTTAAAGATGCAGCTCTTAATCAGTGTGAGATAGAAAAATTAGTAATAAAAAATGTTAGAGATGCAGCTACTAATCAGTGTCAGATGGGAAAAAATAGGAAACAATTACATGAAGATGCAGACTTTTGCTTTTTTATATCTGCAACTCCAGGTATTTTTTATACAACTTTTTTTTCTAGTAATCTTTTATGAAGCTAATCTAAAATTTATCTACATATATTTTATAACCTTTCAACAAGTTAATTTATTTAGTATTGGAAAGTTAGTGTGAAAAAAGTTTAGAATCTAAAATGAATTGATCAAGAAAAGAGTATACACTCAAGTATACACACAAGAAAATGCATAAAATTGTATGTAGGTATTATAATAATGATCCTGATCATAATGGTGATTATTATGATTATTATGATGATCATGATCAATAAATGTTAATAATAATGATGATCCTGATGATCATGATTAATGATTGTGATGACCATGATTTTTTACTTCACTAAAAGATCATAAAATTGACATTGATCTTTAGTTAATTATTTAGTGATCTATCATTTATCTTTAATTGATTTTGCTGAAAATTGAAAAAAAAAAGAACTTTTGAAAGCATATTGTATTTGATTGATTTTGCTGAAAATTGAAAAAAAAATGAACATTTGAAATTATATTTGGTTAAGAAGCAATCTATGATGAAGTTCAAACCACTGTTTGAACTTCTTCTTTACTATTTTTTTTCCCTCTATATTTATAATAATTATTAAATAATTATAACAACTTATTTATAATAAATAACACTCATTTTTGAACAAAATGTTAAAAACTGAAAAGTTGCAAGATATGAATTTAAATCTTTTGCTAAATCACATGAAATACTTTATTAGACAAACTAGTTAATCAATACCTAATGAAAAAAGTGCAAAAATAAAGTTGACAAGAAGGTTTGTGACAATTTTTGTATTAAAAATGGATTTTTGATAAACTCCTTGCAGTGAATATATCATTTATTCCTGACAGTGGTTATTTATATTAATTTACATTAATTTTTATTTTTTTAACTAAAAACTATAAAGAATTTAAAGCATAAACAAGTTAAATCAAAATTTACTTTTTTTCAAGTTTTAAAATGATATTTATATGGTAAATGTTATTTTTTGGAACATGGTTGAGCCTTGTGACCATAGTTTTATACATTATTCATTAAATTACCTGAAAGTTGTAACTATTTTTAGTTAAAATTTTGAATAAATTACTGAAAACAATCATCTGTTATTTACCTTTCCCAGCAAACTTAAAAGGTTTTTATATGTTTTGGTTTTAATTCTTTCATTATTTTAATTTTTCTTCCTATCATCTTTATTCACTTTTTATTCTATTATTTTTGTTCTTATTAGAGATATACTGGTAATTTACTGGTTGTTGGTATTTATTTGTTTTTCTTTTCTTTTTAAATAATCTTGTTATATTTTAAATATAACTTGTTATATTTTAAATATATTTTTAAATAATATTGTTATATTTTAAATAACCTTGTTATATATCGACGATTCCAGGTCAAGCCTCACTCTTCCCCATGGTTTTCTTCACATTGTGCTGCTGCAATTGCCAATCGAAACCATTACTTCCATATCTATCAGCAAAACAATTCTCCAGAAAACAGACGTCTCTTTATTACTGCTAGGAACCATTGTAAAAAGGTTTTGTCTAATGCCAAAACCTGCTATTCTCAGATCATGAAATCTCGAACTTCATCACAAAAATTAGGCTCTCGTGACTTCTGGAGAATCTTTAATAGTATCAATAATAAGGGCAAGTCTGTAATTCCACCTCTTTTGTACGGTTCAGACTTTGTCACCTCACCTAAAGACAAAGCTGAATTGTTTGCCAAGAACTTTTCATCAATATCATCTCTTGATGCCACTAGTTGCGTTTTACCTGATATACCTGTCAAACAGGTTGATCCATTGCTCGACATTCATATCACTCCAGCTTCTGTATCTAAAGTGATTTCCCGCTTAGACTCTTCTACAGCTTGCGGCCCGGACAACATACCTGTTATAGTCTTGCAGAAGTGTTCTCCAGAGCTGTCGTCTATCTTTTCAAAACTATTCAACAAGTGCTTATCAGAGTCTTGTTTTCCAGCATGCTGGAAAGCAGCATCAGTATGGATTTCGATCTTCTCGTTCTACGGCTGATTTGCTATCAGTAATAACCGATAGGTTTTATCGCGCATTAGATAAAGGTGGAGAGGTTAAGGCCATTGCTCTTGCCATTTCTAAAGCGTTTGATAAAGTTTGGCATGCTGGTCTCCTCCATAAGCTTTCTTCTTATGGTGTATCTGGAAACATCTTTAAGATTATTGAATCCTTTCTTTCCAATCGTAGTATAAAAGTTGTCCTTGATGGACAGCACTCTTCTTCTTATTCTGTAACCTCAGGGGTTCCCCAACGTTCAATCCTTGGCCCTATACTCTTTTTAATTTACATTAATGATTTTCCAGATATTCTCACATCTAAGGTGGCATTGTTCGCTGATGATACTACCATTTATTCTTGTCACGATAAGAAGCCAACTCCCTCTGATTGCTTGCAGGGGGCATCTGAGCTCGAAAAGGATCTCACTTCTGCTACAGCATGGGGCTCGCAGTGGCTGGTGAACTTTAATTCAGATAAAACTCAATTTTTTTCGGCCAATCGTTATCGCAATAATTTAGACCTTCCTATATTTATGAACGGTAATGTACTCGATGAGTCTCCTACCCTTCATCTTCTAGGATTAACTCTTACTTCTGATCTTTCTTGGAAACCTTATATCAAATCTGTTGCAAAATTAGCATCTGCTATAGTTGCTTCTCTTTATCGAGCTCGTCACTTTCTTACTCTGGATTCTATTCTCTATCTCTATAAATCTCAAATCCGGCCTTGTATGGAATACTGTTGCCATATCTGGGGCGGATCTTCTAATGATGCCCTTTCTCTTTTAGACAAGGTGCAAAAACGCATTGTAAACATAGTTGGACCTGCTCTTGCAGCCAACCTTCAACCTCTGTCACATCGTCGTAATGTTGCTTCTCTTTCTCTTTTCTACAAGTACTATAATGGGCACTGCTCTAAAGAGCTAGCGTCTCTTGTGCCATCTACTAAAATTCATTCTCGTGTTACTTGTCATTCAATTAAGTCTCATCCTTTTTCTGTGACTGTATCTAAGTGCTTCAAAAACTCTTATTCGTCTAGTTTTTTTCCTCAAACATCAGTTCTTTGGAATTCGCTTCCTTCATCTTGCTTTCCTGATTCATATAATTTGCAATATTTTAAGTCGTCTGTCAATCGTTATCTTGCTCTACAATCTTCATATTTTCTCTTCCAGTAACTTCCAACACTAATAAGTGGTTGCTTGCAACCTTGTTGGAAGCAAAGATAATTAAAAAAAAAAAAAATAATAATATTTCTTTAGTTTATTATTTTATATATCATAACATTTATTTAAAGACTATTACTAATTTATTAATTATTATTATCTTCCTAGCTTACCTTCAATAATAAAAATTTATAGTAAACCAAAACAATATTAAAAAGTATAATAATACCTAAAAATCACAAAAATTCAGAAAAGAATTTTAAAAAAAAATATCTTGGATATATGAACCAGCTCAGAGTGGCCAACTCAGAGTGTCCAGCTTTTGATAAGGTTAAAAACTCTGCAGCATGTATCACAGTATATGTTACACACACTGAACCAAGTCAAAGTATTCAATGTAAAAGATCCAAAAATGATGTTTAAAATCCAAGCAATTTAAACGCATATTCCTAAAGTAAATTTTTTATAAAATTTGAATTTAGGAATATGTATTTAAATTTTTAAAAAAAAAAAAAAAAAAAAAAGCAACAACTAATGATTATAATAGTAGTAAAAAGCAATATTTGGAAAGCAGTTATTTCTAAGATAATATAAGAATGCAGTTTTCTAGTCAACTGTGTATTATTTGATAATTACGTTATGCTTTAACTAGACTGAGCAATGAAATCCTAGAAAGAAATATGAAATTCTTTGTGAAAAAATTCTGTTAAGAAGGATAAGTTATACAAACACAAAGAAAGGAACAGCAGTTTAGAGAGAACAAGTGTTATTTACTAAAAATAAAAACATATTCACAAATCATCGTCAATAATAGTAATAATAAAAAATAATAAAATAAATAAGAAAAAAATTAATTAATCTTCATCAAAGGATTATCAAAATTGTTTGGTGATCAAAATTGCTTGATGATCAAAAGTTTCTTTTCTTTTGCGTTTTGATTTTTACTTTTGAAAAATTTAGCATTAGTATGATGCCAACATTAAGCAGTGTAAGGTTGGTAATTTGTTGCTGGCGTAAGGTTGGTAATTTGTTTACTTCCACCTATCTCAGAGGGATGACTAAGTATGTGAAATTTTTTTTTAGTGATATTGTATCATTAGTTACTAAGTTAGTTTAATTCTATCACTGTAGTATTTTTTGTTAGTATTTAGTCAAATGCTATAAATGTGTTGGTTTTGAACTATATTCATAGGTTTAATTTTTGAATATTAAGAAAAATTGATTTTTTTGTTGTGTTTGTGTTGTTCTTATATGAATGTGTTGGTTTATTTTGTTGAGCAAATATTTAAATAATAACAATGTCAAAACAATGTTACATCAGCAAAGATTGGTTAAATAAGACACTTCATACTAATTGGTTTTGGCTAAAAAAAGTTTCTAATGTTCCTGCATGTGAACTGGAAATTATTTTCTAATATTCCAATGTGAACTGGAAATTTTTTGACGGCTTAAAAGAAAGCCATTCTGCTAAATTGATGTTCATTTAATTGGCATTGGCGTATAGGTGGTTTTTATCTAGTTCATTTGTATTTTCTTCCTAAATGAGTTATACCATATGGTGTCATGCTTCATAAAAAGAGTCATCAAAAATGAAGTTTTTCCAAAAGGTTATACGTTACTCTAATTGTGGAAGATAGATCTGCAGAATAAAAAGTGCAACTATAGAAATGCGGTGATTGTTGTTGGTGTAGCTGGGGAGATGTGGTAATTAGTGTTGTTTTTGAATTACTGAAATGTAAAATTGTGGTCAAAAAAGTGAATTTCATGAAAAATGGATCAATTATTTGGTTGCTGTTGGTTATTTAATTAAAAGAAACACTAAAATAAAAGGCTACGAATCATTTATCATGTTGATGACAATGCAGAGATGCCTTTTCATTTTAAGCATAATTTTTAAACTAATCTGGGCTATTCAAATGGATCAATCTGAATTTATGAAAATCAGTTCTGGATAAATTAAGCTATGGGTCAGTATTGTTGCTTATGCAACTTGGCATCATAAAAAAAGTAGAGTTTTGAAACTTTTGATTTCAATAATAAACATTTAAATGAATTTTTTATTATAAACTAAAAGGAAAAGATATGCAGTACCCAGCATTTTTTGAATTAGTTAAAATTGTGGTGATTCATCTTTTGGTAATCTACAAGTAAAACAAAGTTTAGATTACCACAAGTTCTGACTCAAATCTTTTTATAAAAAATTTTGCCGCAGAATCTGCTGTTCCCCAATAACAGTTTTATGATGCTATCCTTGACCTTGTTGGACTGTGTAATGTACATATCATGCTACAAATGTTAAAAAGTGTCTGTTAAGCTTTGTATGACAGGAGAAAAAAAAACATAAAGAAAAAAAAAAAAGAAAAAAAAAAGTAACTGTGTGCAAGACTGCTAATTATATAGTTTAAAGCCAAAAACACCAGAATAAAAAAGGATGTTAAAAAGAAAGCAGTTGGTAATAATGCTAAAATAAGTTGTTTGTCATCCTTGATCCATGATGATTAGTTGCTCGCTGATTTTTTGTAACAAGGTAATGACATATGTGTACACTTGATTTTTCCACTTTATTTTGTTATTTCATTATTATTATTTTTTTTGATCACTTTGTGTGAGTTTTTTTTGTTGTCCTTTTATTGCTAAATTAGTTATTCTTGTAATTAAATTTACTTAGGAAAATCAATACTTATCTTTTGTCACGAAAATAATATCTAAAAAAAAAAACATAAATAAATCTAGTAAATATAACCTACTTCCCTATCAGCTAAAGTCAGCTGTTATATTTATGTTACATTCAGCTAAAGTCAGCTGTTATATTTAGTTTTGTTTTAAAGACAACGGTAGACCCAATTTCTTTTTTTTTAATGGTTTTTTTTTAACGTTCTTAGGTTCACCTTCATGCCGTAATACTGATACAGGTTCATGGTACATTCAAACCCTTTGCCAAATACTTAAAAAACACTCCGAGAATAAGTCGCTGACAGATATGTTAGTAAAGGTCAACAAAAAGATTTCTAAAAAACAAGAATTGTTTCAAGATGGCGAGCTTGCAATACAAGTCTCAAATATTCGAATTTTAAGTTTAAGATGGCCGTTATATTTCAAGCCAAAAGGAACGTATATCGAATAAGGTTTTAGTACTGTGTATAAAGTCATTATCAGGTAGGAGATCATCGTCTCACTAAAAAATACATTTACTAATAATACAAAAATACATTAATTATTAGTTCAATGATTTTTTTTGTTTGAAGATTGTTTTAACATTTAAGTTTTTAATTATAAATTTAGCAAACTGTATTTTGTAGTTTGCAATTTTTTACGCAATTTTTTTGATTTTTTTTTCGCTATTATTAAGTATATATTTTTTTATATTGTTAAGTATTTTAATATTATACTTATATCAGTATTAAAATATTTTAAATAACATAAAGTTTTTATATTAAGTATTTTAAAATTTTATGTTATTAATCAGTGCCGGCCTTTAGCACACATATTTTTTTCACAGTACAGAAAAAAATGTCTGTCAAATTAATGAAACGGTTGGCTGCGTAAATAGTTTTATAATGAAAGTTTGCATTTTAGCTTTATAAACTTGTTGCTGAATTATCAAGAGAAATTTTTGTAGAATCATGTGTGTACGCTTAACTACAAAAATTTGATTTTGCTTTTTACTTTTTTTTTTACTTTTTGGACTCTGAATTAAGCTAAGTATTTAAAACTATTTTAAAAATAAAAAAGTTGTTAAAGAAAATCTAGGTAATCTAAAAAATACCACCCAGACGAAGAAGGATTTAGGGATCAAGTCGATTACGAAAATGTACTGGTCTTCAAAATAATATATATTTGTGTGCGGCCTTGCAAATTATAAGGCCGAAACTTATTTATTATAATAAATTTATATTTTTATCTAATGTTTTTAAATTTCTAATAAATGAATTTTGTTAATTAGTGAAAAATGTTTTAAATAAAGTGTTAAAATAGCATTCTAGTTTTTTTTTCACATTGTTTGTTGTCGGTTCGTTTATAACTGTAAATTTTCGTACTGTTGTTACCATATTATTTTCAAGTTTGTTAAAAAAAAAATAGGTAGTAATAAATTTAATTTGAATATCCAAAAATTAGTAATGACTTTTATAAAGTTAAATAAATTCTCAATTTTTCCAAGTCAAAATCTTTTATAATAGAAGATTTCGTAATTAAGCGGTTATTATGAATCACGTGATGCAATGTTTTTCTCGGGAGGGCAAAAATGTAAACAAACCAATAATAAAACAAATAAGAATATAATATATATATATATATATATATATATATATATATATATATATATATATATATATATATATATATATATATATATATATATATATAAATATTCAAAAACAATATATACGTCTTTGATTGTTTTATTTAAAATTGTAAAAGGATATTTAACTTCTAAACACAATCTACCATGACATTTGCATACGATAAATCCATCTAGGTAGCAAGCAACGTAAGGTCTATCATACAAAATAAAGAGACCACTTTTTTTTTAGCTCGTGACGTAAGTTTTTTGCTTTGTCTAAATTTTCTTGAACATAAACGGTTTTGTTTGAAACATTTGCGATTTTGCTATTAACTACTTTGTTTAAATCTTTATTAAGACACTCAAATCTTTTAAATCTTTATTAAAATACTTTTTATAGCATCTTGCTCATGATTAATTCCCCATTTGATAGAAGCAGTAAGAAATTTTTTTAAGAGGGTATAAAATCTCAACAACACGAGGAGTTAGTTTAGGCTTCTTAGAACTTGTATTTCTAAAAAGAGTATTAAAACTGATGTTTGGATGCAGTTATCCTCCCTTTTCTCATTTGAAACCAGGTATTGCTTTTAGCTTGATCACTTGTGTTATACTCGTTTTTAATTGTTTCGTGTGTTAAAACCATTTTTTCTAAAAATATTTTGCCTAATGTTGACTTATCAGGGTTAGGGTGGTCTAAAAGTATTTCAAATGAAAGTTCTCAAAATCAGGATTACTTACAATATTTTCATCAGATTTTTTAATTTTTGATTTAAATATTACAGCAGAAGCCTCGGATATATGAATGTTGTTTAAAAAAGTTTTAAATAAATGTTCATTAAATTCACAATGACTTTCGATTCTTGGATTTAATTCTTGCAATGCTTATGTTTATGATACTTCTTTTAAAAGTAACATCAGAATTCTTCTTTAGGTTTAAAGCTTCTTCATGTGTGTTCAAATTTAAAATAAACTCTCCACATTGTAGAGCAAACTGTCTTGAATAGACAGAAATTAGTATTCAAATACTACTTTGCGTCTTAGTTTCCTCAGCATAGACCTATATTTTAGTGTATAAAATACATTAAAATAGTAAAAAACTCTTGTTTTGTTCTAACTCTTTTGAATAAGAATAAGTTATTATTTGCTTTATTTAAAAATTCTTTCCTATTGAACCAAGGTTTCCATCATCCAAGTTTGCTGAACAGTTTATTGTCAGTTTTCTGAACAGTATGGACTGTTTATTCTAGACTTAAACCTACACAGACTAAAGTTACACTTTTAAAAAAGCATACTCAATGCGTGAATTAACTTTGAATAAGCCTTAATAGAAGAAGAGTTTAATTTATCATTAACTTTGACATACTGCTCAAGACCCGGAAGAACAATTATTCACTTTTTGTTAGATTATGTAAAATATTTACAGTAATATTATAAAATTTTAAATTTTTTTTGTTGCCTAATATTTTGTTTAACTTATTTGACATTTATTTTTAAAAGAAAAATTTAACGGGCACCTAAAATGGTAAAATGGGCTTATGTCCCCCTCAATTTTACCCTTTGCCCCATTTGTGACACTTAGCATTTTTTTTTAACTTTTTTTTTTTTCGTAATTTGCAACTAGCACACATAAATGGGCTTATGCCCCCCTTGTGTTTACCCTTTTGCCCCATTTATGACTCTTAGCAATTTATTCAGATTTTAAAAAATCTCTTTTTTATATTGTTATAATACAAATACTCTTAAATAAAAAAGTTTTCACTTGAGTGACACTCCATTAAACCTAAACTCATCTCTGGTCCACAGTGAACCTCGATCCGAAAAGTGAAGCCGCTTTTGCCATTTTCACAAATGGCGGATTAGGTTTGAAAACAAATATTACTTGACTTTTATATTCTCAAATGAAGTTAATATATTTTAAATATAAATACTATTTATGTCAAAGTGTTAAGAGGAAATTTGAATACTTGTAAAATATTAATTTATGTTTTCTAAATTCATTTCAGATTAGAAAGGGGTTAAAGTTTCGAATAGAAAAGTAAAACGAAACACGCTTGTGAAGCATTTTTATGAATTATAATAGAAAAATTTATAAGTATTCCATAATTACTAAAAAGTGTTTTTGAATTATCTTTAACTTATTGGGAACTTTCTATGCTATAAACTTGCATCTTTAACTTTTATTCCTCACATTGGCTTCAATTTTTGCCCTTTTTACAAATGGCGGGCTATATTTATATACAAAAAAAAGCAGCTGCCTTTTTTCGTCCAATAAAATCCCGCAATTTAAACATCTAGTTTATATAATTGACTTTGATTGGTGCAGGAGTTATTTTTTCTCGTGGTTGTTTTGCAACGTTTGTTTTACCCGTAGACTTATTTTTCAATTTTGCTTAGAACTATTAATCAATTTTGTTATTTAAAGTGTTGTAATCAAATAACGCTTGATAAATTTGTTGAAATCAATCTGAGATTAAGTAAATTTTTATTCAAATTTTTGTCACTACTTTTGTTGTTATTTTATTATGGAGTTAAACCTGATTTTCAGAGAGCGGTACTTGGTACAATAAGCTAGTGATTCTAGATACAAATAAAAATAAGCTACTTGTACCTAGGGCTACTAGTTTTTAAACCCTTAAACATACCGGACTTTTATATTTTATAAGTCAATATACAGTATCGGACAAAACAAGTGCAACCAAATAATGCTAATTTAGTTTTTTTTATATAAAAGTGCTGCATTTTTTAAATTTAGAGAAATAACTATGTAACTGTTTAGAGACAACGTTCTTTAAGTTTTATTCATCACAAAGTTCATTATTTGTACACAAAAATTAATAAATTAATCAAAAATATTAAAAAAAGTTGATTTTCTTCTGAATAAAACAAATGCAACTCCACAAAATGTTGACCAAGCTGTATTTCGCTATCAATATTTCGTGGCGAATCCTTTGTTGTCGATCACAGACTTGCATCTTCGAGGCATAGATTCAATCAGATAATCAATGAAACTTTGTGGAACCTCTGCGCAGGCTTTTTGGATTTGTTCAAACAGTGTGTTTCGGATCGTTGTCTTGTTGAAAAACCCATTTTATTGGCGTATTCTATTCAGCATGAGGTAACACAACATCTTTCAGGATATTTTTATACATAAAACAGTCCATTATTCCATCAATTTGATGTATTGGACCTAGACCGTTAGCAGAAAAACACCCCCAGACCATTACATTGCCTCCACCATGCTTCACGGTCTTATGACAGTAACGTAAATCAAGGCGTTTTCCGGCCGGTCGACGTACACGGCAAATGCCATCGCTCTCAATTTTCTCAATTTTCTTTCTTAGTTCCAATCCAAGACTGTCGGGGGAGATTTTTGCACTTGAAGTCATAAAAATAATAAAAATAAATAATTACGCTTCTCAAGGCTTACCGTGTTACATTTACCTTGTCTGAATTACATGTCGGTTTACATGTCTCTTATATAGTAAAATGAACCTGTGTGAACCTGTTCTGGAAGATTCTAAATGCTTCTTTTCGATGCTTCTGGAAGCTTCTAGATGCGCCTGGATGCTTCTAAATATTTCTGGATACTTCTAGATGCTTCTGAATGCTTCCAGATGCTACTTCTAAAAACTTCTGGAAGGTTTTGCATGCTTCTGGAAACTTCTGGATACTTCTTTTAATTATTAAAAAACTTCCGTGACGTTGACACAAACCAGACTTAAGAAAATGAAACAAACCAAATAAGTTGCAATTGTTTTGTCTGCTGCAAAATGGCACTTGTCAACGAAGTTCTGCCTGTGTGCTGTCATCTGTCAACTTATTGCTCATGTCATGGCATGCTACGACTCCAGACTCCTGAACTGTTTACTGTGATAGTATAGTTCGTTTCGTTTTTAAGACATGTAAAATTAAAAACACTTTTTAGCATTGTTTGATGTTGGTTG